AATGCAGATATCCAGGTCGGTGAATGCGTCCTTGCTCCAATCAAGACTGGCAAAGAACACGTCTGTGTTCGCAGCGATGTACTCGCCCGGCTCAAAAAAGAGTCTGCGACAGACGAATACAACGAGAACACAGCGAGATCTGGGATGCAAAGACAGGTAAAAACTGCTCTTCACAGTCAAACACGGCAACAAATCAGATGCCTCCACGTCGCATGGCTTAGATATTCGACACCGCTAGTACTTGGTACCAGTAGATGAGGGTCACAAGTCAGAATGCCTCCTTCCGGAATCCGAGCGCATCGGACGGTGGAACAGCGCGACTGCGGAATCTCGACAAGCGCATCAAATTTTGTCGACAATGATCGTGCTGCATGGAGATGTATTAATTACATAAGCTGCACAAACAACCCTTACTAATCGGCATTAGTCAGGCTCGGAGGCCTCAGCTCAACTCGAAGGCCTCATGATCAAAACGCTACTATGCGAATCGGCGTAGCCCGCATATATATACTAACATATGATCTCAGATTCTGAGTCCGAGTCTCACGTCCTTTCATCCATCTCCAGGATGAACACAGAGAAGAGTAAGAAGGGAGGTTTCTATCAACCTTCCACTAGTAAGGAGCTGCTTCCGCACCCTCCAGGTCTAGTTCAAGCCCGGAGGTATTCAACGGGGCACATCTTCCGCAAGTTCCTGGTTCTTGGAAGCTTTTCCCTTATCTTTTTCCTACTCTACAATACTCACTCTATCTCCTTCCTTGGTTTGAAGAAAGACAAGAAGTACTCTGAATCGTATGACAGTTACATAAAGCGTATCGAGGAGGGCTATCTGTGAGTACGAACTTCATGCTGCGCGCTGCGCATCCGGGTCTTAATTCATTGTGGTCTGTAGTGCCGTTCCATCCGCAGAGTCTGCGCTTGCAGCCTCGCGTGACTACGCCACACACCCACATTTAGCTGGCGCGGTGGAAGACTTCCAGGACGCAAAGGACATTCTTGCGCTCTTCCAGTCCGAGTTTGGTATCTCTACGCCTACTACCGAGCCCATATACCCGGCAGGCTCCCCTGAGTCCCGCGAGGCAACTCTTAGCACAACCTCTAAGCTTAGCAAACCGGCCGCATGGGTCGATATCTATTACCCAGTCATGAACACAGGGAATGCGGATGGCATGGTTGTGGAACTGCTCAGTGAGAGTGACCAGCCCATATGGAAAGCCGACCTGCTTGAGGATGGTGACCCTCGTGACGAGACTGCTGCCAAGTATAAGCATTCCGTTCCACCCTTCCACGGTTTCAGCGCTGCTGGAGAGGCTATCGGCCAACTGGTGTATGCGAACTATGGTACCCATGACGACTATGACAAGCTCATTGGTGCTGGAGTCGACCTCAAAGGCAAGATCATCCTAGCTCGCTACGGTGCTAATTTCCGTGGTCTTAAGGTGAGCCGTGTGGTATATAATGACACAACAGATTGCTAATCTCAGACGAAAAGGTACAAGGCGCGGCAGAGCATGGCGCAGTCGGTGTCCTAATTTACTCTGACCCTCGAGACGATGGGAGTGTCACCGTTGAGAACGGATATGAGCCATATCCCGCTGGTCCTGCTAGAAATCCCACATCAATTCAACGTGGCTCAGTTATGTACCTCTCTATCTACGCTGGCGATCCCACTACGCCAGGCTATCCTGCATATGAGAATGCAACTCGTGTTGAGCCAACTAACATTCCGAATATTCCAAGTTTGCCACTTTCCTGGGCCAACGCCAAACTTCTTTTTGAAGAGGAACTCGGCGGTGTCCCTGAGGGTACCAAGCTGAACGGGAGAGTTGGAAGCAGAAAAGTCAGGATGGTTAACGATGGTATGCGATTGCGATTACTAGTCGGATTGTCACTAAGCATAGTCGTGCAGTGGATGCCAAGGTCACGCCTATCTGGAATACCATGGTTGCAATTCCTGGTCACATTAAAGATGAAGTCGTCCTCCTTGGGTGTCACCGTGATGGTCAGTTGTTCAATCTGCCTGTGTAGTATGCACCTCATACTTCGACGTAGCTTGGGTTATGGGTGCTGCGGATCCCACATCTGGCACTGTCTCTCTTCACGAAGTTGTTCGCGGACTTGGGGCTCTTTACAAACGTGGATGGAAACCACTGCGTACCATTGTCATTGCCAGCTGGGATGCCGAGGAGGTCAGTGTGATCAGTTATCATCAGCAGCTCTCCTTATCCATAGATGTCACAGTACGGTCTCGTTGGAAGTACTGAGTGGGGCGAGGATTTTGCCGACTGGATCCAAGAGCATGTAGTCTCCTACGTCAATGTCGGTATGTTCTTCGTCCGTTTTGTGTATGTGCTCTCTGCTTAAAGTTGACGATAGACGTATCGGTTTCTGGTTCTCGCTGGTCTACTTCTGCTTCCCCTTCTCTCGCCCACCTTATCCAGCGTTCCGCCCGAGACGTCCCTCACCCTACTGATGCCCAAAAGACCCTGTGGGATGCTCATTTTGATATTGGTCCTTACGAAGGCCCTGTAGATGCCGAGTTTGCTCGCATGTGGGACAAAATGACCTCCGATGAACCACGAATTGGCCCACTGGGATCAGGAAGTGATTACACAGTCTTCCTGCAGAGACTCGGTGTTCGTCTCTTATCTTATACCCCTTCCGGGCACTCCACTCATTGTGCCATTGTAGGTTGCCAGCTCCGACCAGGGCTTCGGTAATACTCCGACAGACGCGCCTTACCACTACCACTCTATCTATGACTCGCAGATGTGGCAAGAGGTGTACGCAGATCCTGGTTTCTACAAGCATGTTTGTTGTCATACATTTATCCTCATGATCCCCGATCTTACCTGTGACTAGGTTGCTGTCGCGCAGAATCTGGGTCTGTTGACATTGCGTCTTACGGATTCCTTAATCCTCCCTTTAAACACCACCCAGTATGCACTTGAGCTTGACTCCTACGTAGACACGTGAGTGTTAGCAAATGAAGTCACATTATATATCTTGCTAATCCTTTCCAGTGTCATCAAGTCTACTTACCGTGAAGAGATTCTGCCAGACCTTTTCCCTCTTAGAAGGGCCATTGCAAAGCTGCAGGACGCAAGCTTCAAGCTTGACGAGGAGAAAGCTGCTGCCGAGAAGGCTTTCCATAAGGCTTTGAAGAAAATCAGCCGTGCTCGCAATCCCCGTGCTATTCGGCGGATTATTCAATGGATCAAGGAGCATCTCGGTATTAGTGCACCGGAGGTTCAGGACTTGAGGTTTGGCGCATTCAAATGGATGTCGTCTATGACAGAGTCGAGTTTCTCGGAAGCGCATATCTGCAAGTCGCGTGGCAAAGGCCCGCTATCTGATTTCATACGGGCAGCTAAGAGAGTCAGAGCCGCCAATCAGAAACTCATGGCGTTTGAACGTGGATTTATCTCTGAGGATGGCATTAAGGATAGGGAATGGTACAGACATCTGGGCGTTGCTCCCGGGAAACACCTTGGTAAGCCTCTGTGGCACTGCTGTGCAGTCTAGCTAACGATTCAAACAGGGTATGCACCAACTACACTGCCAGGCCTGACGGAAGCTATTGTTTATGACGAGGATCGCGAACTTGCCGAGCATGAGGCTGCTCGACTGACCGCACTCATTGAAAACCTCGCGGAGTTCCTTAAAGTTTAAAGCACAGAGTATTCTACCACTTGTAGGCTTCCAGGCCAACAAACAAGAAGTTCAGTATGAACCTGCTTTCTTAGACACTGTTCAGCGTCGGTCTAGAGAATTCGAGTGAATTGCCAGCGGCAACCGAAGGTGCATACACGTTTCTCAGCCTTGTCAATTCAGGATAATTTCAGACAATGGAGCAACACGCACAAATCGTACTCGCCAAGGCATTCGCCGCATTGTTTGAGGTTTTAATGACGGGCCTTCAGAAAAATGATCATAGAGCGTGAGCTGGCATCTGTTTATTCAATGATGCATGTACAAATTGGCTGCCCTACACTACCTGTGTATGAAGCCAACCTCGTTTTGGACTTGGAGAGCGCCATCGCTCACTCACCACCATGATCATATCTATCACAGCGATGACTAGCGTAGCTCTCGCATCTGACGGTCTGGTCATGACTTCACCCAGAGGCCTACCCTGCGGCAACCCCAGTAAGCACTTTTGGGATCTACTCCTTAGACTGTGCGTGTTTACAATTAGTATTTGCAGATACCGAGCAGTGCTCAAAGGGCATCGGACTCTAACGACGATGATGATTTCAGTTATGTGTGGACCTGATAGCACAATTACTGACTACCAGGCATGTTCGTGTGAAGATTGCTGTTGCGTGAATGGGCCCGGGAAGCGATTGCTAAACCCAAGTGAGCCTGTCGTTTCCCGCTGCCTTTGGAGTCCGAGTATTGATATGCTCGCTTAGCATGATGTGCGAAGGAGTGGTGCGATGTCACGGTAATATGGCGTTTGATGGTGTTTGCAAATCCGTTCAACTGTGATACACGAGACCATGCTACCTCAACACGGAATCGTCGTGGATACATGTGAACACAAGTCGTGGCCAAGACATACCAGGGTGCAGGTTTTTCTTGATACAGAAGTGCCTATGGTGCGAAGTTCCGTATCTCACCTTAAAGTCGTCTTCAAGTCCTCGTCCCTTCTCTATCTATTATTCCCCGTCGAACTTCTATTTGCCTAAAGTTCTTCTTGTGCAATCACAATTAGATTTGCAACCGGGCGCAACTCAACGCTTCCCGAAACCGTCCAACACATGTCATAGGTCTGATCAGTGCTTTTGAAATGCCGTTAATAATGGTTCCGAGTAGACAAGCAGACATCGTAGTTCGTAGGTACAATTAGTATGTGACATGGGATACATACGCAGTAGGCATTGCATACATAAAGTTGATTTTAAAAAAATTAAATTAAATTCCAGTTTCTGTCCTATGGAGAGTCGTACTCTATGAAGGACAATTCAATCTAGTCTAAGGGACCCCCAGTGTCCCAGCGCATCTCTAGATTCGCGAATGCCCTAGTGTGAGGCGCACCCCCACTAGTCCGCCGTTCCCGCCGGCCGTTTTAGACGATAAAGTTGATTAAACACCATGTGCCACCGTTGAAAATTGGCCTTCTCCAAACTGCAACTCAGATATATCCGTCAGTGTATGAATATGCGATTGTCCTTCACTCGCTCGTAGGTTGAAAAGAATCCGAGAGGCTAGAACACTGTGGATGACAATTTGCGGACTGGTGACGTGATACACAATCAGTTGGTGATGCAGTTGTTCAAGTTGATGTACTCACGAGTCTGTGATCGCAACCCATGTGACCTGTATTCAACAATAAGCGCATGGATAGCTGGCCAGGTATACTGCAACGCACCGGAGGAGCCATGGTCAAAATTATGTTAAACGATGATACGACTTGATAGCAGGATGTCAGCACACGGGCCAGTTTGGGCGAACAGAACCATCTTACTCATCAAGCAGATCATATATCTCGCCGAGTCGTTGAAGAACGTTCTTTGGAGTAGTCCGACGACATTGCCGTACTTGCTGAATCTGATGTACAACATCAAGCAAAAGAGGACTAATTATGCATGAGTCCAAGAATATTCTTGAAAGACGAGACGCCTGACCCAGTTCGTACAGTAACAGAACAGCGTACTCATAAACGTTATTTCTGCCGCCCACGAAAAGACAGTCGCCCGGATTCGCTGTCCACCTTGCATGAGTATGATTGTCACGAAAATCAAAGATTGTATCACAAACGTATATCAAGTGAGGTCGTGTTTTCGGAATTGAAGATCAAGGGAGTGTCCGATATGATATAAGAGACCGCAGAACACATCTGGCAGTGGTTCAGCACCAAGCCTTTTATGGTGAAAGGTGAACGAAAAACATACGATGGGAAAAACAATAAGGAATGCCAGTAGACGCTTACTCCTCCAGGAAGCGTAAATCCTCGTTATGAGCAAGCCTAGAGGTAAAATGTCAATATCGGGAGCTCATTTAGGACATGACATACCTTCTGCGGCTAGAATGCAGATGATATGCAACACTGCGTAAGGGTTGGATGAGAAAAGTAATGTAACGTAGACTGTGCACGCTAACCGGTGGACGCTTGTCCAAATCTAACACACTACACGAATGTTATAAATATTAGGGCATTGAAATAATCACTTACACTTTCACCAGGATAGTACTGTGTTCGAAGCGCGCCTATCCATCAGCCGTGAGGGTTGTCACAAAAAGCGAGTTAGAACATGTGTAGCTCACCTGTGAATGTCATCCCAATGGCGAAAAATGGCAAGTATCGTGATACGGTGAACACAAATCGCACGAAATTCCATCTGCGGTGCCAGACCCACTGTGACTTTGGGACAGTCATCAAATAATTCAATAATCAGCGCACTACACGCACCTCTGTCTCCAGGGTAATGAAATAATCAAAAATCTAAGTAAGGACATCAGCGTCACATATCTCCGAGTTCAAGTCAGCTAATGCGCTCACTAAAATAGCAAACATTCCAACTGGGTATTCAGTCAGCCACAATATCTGTAAAAACATCAGATATGATCCGTACCATTGAAGTACTGGGCGTAAGGGTTAATCAGAGTTATTAAGAGCTCGACTCGTTGCGCACCTTAGATGCCTGGATGCCAGCGTCGACAAACAAAGCAGTAGGCTGATCCATCATGCGTCAAGTTTGTGTAAAGCAAATAAACACTCTCGTTGTTCGTTACGCGCAAATTTACTATTTAAGCACACACAACTGACAGCTGTGTTACAATGTTTACACATTGGCAGTTTCATGCTAAGATACGCCAAGTGTTGCAACACGGATCAACGCCCATTTCGATAAGCAGAGGGATCAAGGGACGATTGTGATACGAGTGACAAGGCTGTGGAACTCACGGATCAACTAATCATCATTCATGACGATGCGCTACCAACACCGCCGTACTGCCTTCAGTAGCTTACCTGCAACTTGTGGGAAAGCAAGGTAGACCTAGTCTTCACCGTATTCTGTGGGAATGTAGTGGGAGTACATGCCCACTACTTCATATAAGAGGGTTTTTACCTGGCTTCCTGCAAACAAGTAACAATGCAGCATGACGGTGTGCTACCATAATGGGGTTTGTTTAGCGCAACGGGAGTATTTTACGTAAACTTCGTTGATGTCATTTTAAATATAACACTAGAAAGGGCCGAGCTTCGCCGGCAGCAACCTTGTTCTACATGGCTTCAAACGTTCAAGCTTCAAGCTTCAAGCTTAAGCTTAAGCTTAAGTTGTGTATTTATAATTTTTTTAGCCTAGGAACAAATGGAATGCATGTGGTTATGATTCCTTAATTGTTGTGGAACACCACAGCCACAATTGTCAGTTGAGAGTGACCTTGTATGAACAAGGTGACTATGCATAAGTGTCGCTAGTTGTTTCAAAGTTCGAACTAGTCAACCTCACTGCTTCTTGTTGCTGTGAGCTTGGTTGCCGGCATAAATGGGATTAGCCTACTCACCTCTAAATTGCATGGCAATTTGGTGTGTGATGTGCACACTTTGAGTGTCCCTGTATGATAGATGCTTTTATAGTGAGTTGAGGTGAGTGCTGTAGAGACTCGCGCCTCTCAATGCCGGATATGCGGCCTTCTTACCCATTTAATTCCCTACCTGTATCAGCTCACATCCTAAGGACCAGTCATTCGCGCTCTCGCGCGCACACCCTACGTACGCGCCTCACTCGCACATCGCACACGCACGCGCGCTCCATAGGCCTTTGCGCTCCTACCGTCCGTCCCTCTGTCCTTTGTCCTTGCTGATTTACTGGTGCGTTATTTTTATCTCTCTCATTGAATTAACGAACCTTCGGTCCGACCTCCGCGCTTACATACAGAGAGTCTATTTTGACTTAGAATATAATTAGAAGTTGATATGGTTACTCGGTTCGGGAGTGCGCTCGGAAGCGCGCCGCATAGCGTAATCTCCCTTCTTAAATAAAGGGAGGATTCCTTCGGTTCTGGTACTTACTTTCCCCTTATCTTGATATACTGCAAAGTGTATAGTTCTCCCTCCAATACTAGAAATCTGATTATACTCCTCCACTGTTTGACACCTGTGCCCTTGCTACTCTCTTAAGGACTCCTCTCCTTCATCGTTCAAGCGCGCGCCCGCTTACGCGCGTACCCTCCACATCTCTCGCTCACGCGCGCATCTCGCGCGCCTTCGCATCGCCTACGCGCGCCTTCACGCGCGTTACTTTCCCGCGTCTACCAGTGCCCGTCTAGTTGACAGAGTTTCCCTCCACCTTATTCGCGAGGAACTTCTCTCAGTAGCTGTCCTTTGGGTCGAGTTGTATTCTCGTATCCAGGTCTTGCTGTAGAGCCCCCTTTCTTTTAGTGTTTTCACCCACAGTCAAGATTCCTCACCTTCAGCGGCTTTTGCTTTACCAGTCATCTTGATGATGTGTTTTGCTTGAGCTGCAAGAGCTTCATTGAGCTGCATGGCAGGCAGTGGTTGGGTGATGAAAATTTGCAAGGCTGGAGTCATCATGCTGGTAATGTATTATAGCAGCATATATTTGATTGTTTAAAGTCTGACTGTTTGTAACTGTACAGTACTGCTGTTTGTAGTTAGGTTGATATGATATTATTTGTTGCAAGGCACTCTGTTTCGATCGAAACCCGGTGCAAGGGTACAGGTATGGGTATGGGTATTGCAATACCAAACCTGTACCCGTACCCCAGAGGTACCCACACCCCACACCTGCACAGGTATACCCATACCTGTGCAGTTCCCTATGTGTACATCGGTAGCTACCTAGAAGAGAATGTATTCTAATAGTAATGTTAGCTTGTGTACGAAGGAATGAAAACATAAGGCTCACATCTCAGTCTTGGTAAAAGGACTGAGATGTTTCTATGATGCAAACATTCTTTTAACATAAGGTAAAATAGTAAAAATCAGAGAGAGGAGATATCATTCTGAAACATACAGAGATGTGAGCCTTGGCAGATGTCATACCTAGGTACATCGAATATGCTTGTACCTCTCATTCCTAGTCCAATGCTCCCGATTCTCCTGATTGCAACACTCCCCCTCGAGTGGATTTGTCTAGGGCCATGAGAAGCCGAAGCTTCTGGTGACGAGGGTGAGTCAATGGCTTTGTGAATATGTCCACAAGGTTGTCTTCCATAGGACAGTACTGTGGGGCGAAGGTGCCATTCTTGACGTGGGTGCAAACGAAATGATAGTGCAAGTCGATATGCTTAATGTGCGATTGGAACTTGTTGTTCGAAGCTAACGTGATTGCCACTTGGTTGTCGCATTGGATGGGAGTGGGGAGGTCAACGATCTGGTAGAGTTCATCAAGTAACAGCTGTAAGTACAAGACTTCTCGAGCAATGGAGGTGAGTGCAATGTACTCTGCCTCAGTCGTTGACAAGGCGATGATGGGCTGTTTCCAAGTGCTCCAGGCCACAGGTCTGCCATTTAGCATTATGACGTAGCCTGACATTGAGTGGTGGGGCTGCAAGGCCCAATCAGCATCCACATAGGCTCCTAGCCTTTCATCCATATTACTGAAGGTGAGTGCCATGTCCATTGTACCTTTGAGGTAGTGAATGACACATTTGGCAGCGTCCCAGTGTGCTTGTCCCAGATTTCGCATGAACTGTGAGAGGGTGGCTACGGCAAAGGCAACGTCGGGACGGGTGCTCGTTGCAGTGTACATGAGGGAGCCTATGGCCTTCTGATATGGTATGTCTTGCATGTCTTCAAGTTGTGCATGTGTAGCTGGGCACTGGGTGTCTGAGAGTAGGGTAGGAGTTTCTATGGGCATCTGACAGGTCTTGGCATCTTGCATTCAAAAACACTCTAACACAGTGTCAACATAGGCATGTTAGGAGAGGGTAAGAGTTTGTGCAACTCAGTCACAGTCGACTTTGAGTCTGAGCAGCTAGTTCAAGTTGTCCAAGTCTGTAATATCGAAGTACTTGGTGAGTTGGCTCTTGAACTCGGTGATGTGGCATAAGTGCCGTGATGTGACAGCCATGTTGTCTATGGACACAGTGATGACCATCTGCTCATCGTCTGAGTGACGGTAAAAGACTGCCTGGTCGACCTGTGAGCGTGAATATCCCAACTTCCCAAAAACTGATACCAGTTCCTCAGACCACTCATACATTGACAAACACACTCAATGGCAGGTCCAATGCTTTCAATTGTGTGCACTTGACCACGGGCAGACATAACTCCCCACTGCGAATGTCGCTTTTTCAAGAGGCTCAGTCTGATAATTCAAACGTCAGAAGCTCTGTTTGAAGGTATGTTTAAGTAGCTATGACTCATGATATATTGAACTTGCTAGTCTCCTGGTGTGTCCAAAGATGAGAGATGATCTCTTGATTGCTGTAACCATTGGCAACATACTGCTCTACAAGCAGTCTTAAAATTGCATCTGGAGCTGCAAAGTAATTAGCGCCAGTGTGATTGAGTTAACTGAACCCAGTTTCAAATGCACTTACGACTAACAACACCTCTCCCATTTTTGCCTTGCAGGTTGGGCATTAGAGCAAGCCTTGAAGCACCAGCCTGCATCAGTGGTTCAATGAGAAGATATATTGATACAATGAACCATGGATTCACAACTTACAACCCCCTCTGGACCACTGAGGAATTTAGATTGAAATTTAGATTGCCATTCTGTACAAAATCGCTCTAGTAGAATATAACTAGGGATATACACGAAGAAACAATATTACTGAAACCAAACAGCAATCAGACATTGAAAATCTGTCTGGCATCTCAGGAAGTCGAACTGTAACCAAACATCCACCATATAAAGCTTTGTAAAATTATTATAACTGTCGCTAAATTAGTGCGCGCAAGTGAGATATGGTGGGGTATGAAGGGCTGCACTGGACAAAAATACGAAAATTGGTTTTCACAAAACTTGTGACAGATTCTGAGTTTCTCTTGTTTCAAAATAACAAATCAAACAAATTTAGTTGTTGATTTTCTGATTTCGAAGTCTCTTGTTTACATTTGGCTGCATTTGGAAACAGATGACTGTGGTGCGCACACATGTACAACTTAACCGCTGTTAGGCATGGATGAACATGAACCTGAAGTCCTAGAGCAAATTCCACCACCTCTCGAGACCATATGGCAAGGTTATGATGGGCTTGGTCACCACACTCACATTGTTCTTTAATGCCACCAAGCGGGAGTGTTGTTTATTAGCATAGTAGAACAGGTGCCATCACATCAGGAAATCAACCCTAAGTTGATATGACCAGATATGATTAGTAATCAAACAACATTATTACATCTTATGTTTTAGCCTTAAATATTATTACCATAGTGTCCCACACATCCAACATATGATATATCTGTGCCATAAAATTATCGCTTTGATGCGTGTCTTGGAAGTGTACAACAGCATGATGCCGGCTTTATAAATCATTGTCGTGGTCTCCCACACATCCAACATATGATATGTCTGTGCCAGAAAATTATCGCTTTGATGCGTGTCTTGGAAGTATACAACAGCGTGATGCCAGCTTTATAAATCATTGTCGTGGTCTCCCACACATCCAACATATGATATGGCTGTGCCAGAAAATTATCGCTTTGATGCGTGTCTTGGAAGTATACAACAGCGTGATGCCAGCTTTATAAATCATTGTCGTGGTCTCCCACACATCCAACATATGATATGGCTGTGCCAGAAAATTATCGCTTTGATGCGTGTCTTGGAAGCAGTCAACAGTGTGATAATTAACCCACCCATGTATTGTAATTGAATGGTTGCAGATCATCACATTTTCAGTTGACTTATATTGCATCATGGCATTTTTTAAATAATGAGATATATCCTGTCTGAATTGTATAGAAGCTGCTAAAACTATGGTTGTGACTGGTTGCTTGCACCTGCCTGTCTGGCCATCACCAGCATGCCTAGCATCTACAAATATTGATAAGCATGGACTACTTTGGACTAAGTGTGCCAATACACCAATGGTGCTAAGTGATTACAGAACAGTACCATACTACTGGTGTCGCATATAAGCCAAGCGGGCCATATCTTACTCAGGGGTATATGGTGCTCTATATTTCAGTGACAGCCTAATAAGGAACAAGCAGTTGAGCACTACTATCATGACCATCGTATAAACGAGATAAATAATTTAAGAGTGAGTTTTACGTGCTTCGCACCAAGATTTGTGCAAATCCGGAAGGGAAGACATGATAGTGAGCGACAGGTTATGGCAGTCTATAATTTACAACCACAAGGATGCTGGATACAATTGTGTCAAATTCCATACGAGTCAAACAAGGCCATACAAAAAACAAGGTCGGAGCAAATGAGTAGGAAACAAGCTAATGTGAAGGATGATAAGAGGGGCGGAGGAGGGGTAACCTTAGAGCAAGTGAGTAAGCGTGACTCGAATATATATTTGCGTCGGATGTGCTACCTGTCCAAAGCGCGGTAGTATAGTAAATGTTAATTGATAAATAAAGTTGATGGAAAGGGCAGCAAGAATAACACAAACCAAGGGCAACGTACAACAACAAAAACACCTACACAGAAGTGAAAATTATTAACAAACTTTGACTTTGGAAGGGAAACACCTACCTGTACAAATGGTGCTACAACAACGCGAGTGTCACAGAAGTCCAGAGGCACTGGAAGATAAAGATGAGGTCGAGTGCCAGTCATCAAACCAATCATCGACATGATCAGGTGGACGTGATTCCAATGTCGTAGCACTTCCAGCAGACGTGCCTTCTGCGAGCCAACAGTTACATTAGTTGAGAAAACTGGAAGCAGAAATTTCATCAGGCCCACCAACAGCAATGCGTGCTATGGCTTCAGCAAACATATCGACTTCAGCCTGTGCGCGCTGCTTCTTTAAGTACATGATACGGAACTCCGACTTGAGCTTGTCCAACATTTTGGACTCTGCTTTGAAGCTGCCGCAATTGTCGGTGTGTACCAAAGACTTGTTGGTTTCTGCAACAGATGCACTCACGTATGCACGATACGCCACATCATCAACGAAACCCTTCAAATAACTCGGTAGATAAAGAAATTGATCACCGGGCTGAATAATGTCAGAACACCGTGTCCTTCTTAGTGTCAGACGCACTCACCTGGAAGAGGTTTTCATGTAGATTTATATGTTGTGGGGAATCATGCGGTGTTCGGCGGGCATTGTTACTAACTTCTTTAGTGTCGTGCAAATGTGATGACGCCAGAAGCGACGCCTTGCGACATGCGGAGAGCCACGCCATGCATTTGTATCGAGTAGCCGGGAAGCAGTCGAAATTGGACGGGCTGAGTTCCTGGAATGATCCAACAGCATCCACGGACAGCGTCTTTGGAGTAAGACACGATGTAGCTAGGAATAAATTTGATTTTTTTTATCGTGCAGCGGCCTTTAAACAGAATGACTTATGTGATTTGGTTGCATGAGTTGTAGTGTTCAGCTTTTCGCACAAGTTGGCCATAGCTTTACTGAACAACGAAACCTCCATTTGTGCTCTATACATCCTCTCCTCCATCAAGCATCGCCCTCTTTGCACTGGGAGTACCGTCATATTCTGTTCTTCTTGCTGAAGTTGTGCTTGCGTGGCGATCTCCATGAGGCTCATGTCAAGGAGCGATATAAGGTCATGCGGGTCGACCGATCCAAACAGCACGGAAGCTGTGGTAAGTAGGAAGTCTGGAAGCTGAATATAAGGTTATGAGAGGCCAATACTTAAAACTGTGTAAACACTAACATTTTCGGTCCCTTGTTTCTGGAGCCAAGTTCTTAGGGCGATCTCAGTGTATCCGATTTCAAGCAGGTGGGTATTCAAAGGTGACTGGAAAAAAAGAAAAGTTGAAGTGATATTTGACATGTTGAAAGTTTGTAAGGGAGCAAAAGGCTCGAGGGATATTCACACGATCGTTGAATACTTATACATACTATAATACGGCGCGATAGTGCACTTCGACCTTGTCCTAGTTTGGACACGATGGCACACTATGATGCCGTGCCATGTCAGGGCGATCAACCGAAGAATGAAATTACATAATCACCTATTTGAAAATCGACAGGTCGGAGAAATCCTTGACTATATCGAAAGCGCATCAGAAAAATAGTGGGCAGTGCAATAAAAACATACTTTGTTTTGATATTGCGAAAGCAGTCGTACACCTCATTCGGCGAAGTGTAAATAGGCCTTAGGTGTACAATCACACCCACCGGCAAGAGCTCATGGTCACGGTAATGACTTTCAGCATTTGGGACATCCGCAACTGCTGGTTATCAAAGGGGATAAATATCACACACACCCGGCATGAAAAACAACCTACTGCATACTAACTAATGCGTCATCTGCGATGAGCCAGACGGCTACGCATGGCTTGTAAGTACTGTCTTGACGCCAAGTCCCATGGCACTGAGTTGGTCAGAATTCACAGGATAGCATTTGATGGTCTTCGTCCAAGCCAAAAAGCCAGTGTCTAGTAAGTCAACATAAAAGCCGCTGATAAAGCGCATGAGCAACAAATTCTGCACGACAAATAACTCAACTCACTCGACTTCATCAATGGGTTGGTATAGATGCTCAAGAAAAGCAGGTGGGTTGTTGATGGAAATAGTCCTCGCGAAGGGGCTCTGCCATTCCAGAGCATCAGTTTTGGCGCTTGCTCGCATCTTCATGAGAACAGCGGACTTCACGATTGCCCTGTGAAAAAAAAAATTAAATGAATCGACGTGATGCATGTCTGATTAAAGCACGTACTGCTCAGCACTAGTCCTTATTCCTGGTTGTGGGCTAAGTGATTGTTCCATCCGGAGGAGCCACTGCGTCATGTCTGAGGAAGCCCATCAGAAATGTACGCATCAACAGCGTGATACGTACAGCCTTGTTGCTCTCCTCCAAGCATCGCTTTGGACGCTTAGTAGCACATTCCACCGCTACCTTTGTTAGCTTGCTATCAATGATAGCAGGCAAGAACTCTTCTTCAAGAGTGCAGATACATCAAAGCGCGGCGTGAGCCAAGACTAGAGTTCCTCTCGCGTTTGCTTGGGCCAGTGTTCGATCCCTATGATGAAGCCATTAGATGTAAATATGATGGTATAGAGCAGGAAGAATAACACGCAACAGTCCAGTCAATATATCAGCCGCAGCCGCCTGCTTGAACTTATCCGCATCGATCATCAATGACTCGACAATTGGAAGAATTGAATGCATGTGATCGCCGTTGAACAACTTCGCTGCAGCAGGGTCAGCAACGAATTCATGGATGGAAAAGTGAACGACGAGGACCTAGATTAATCATAAAAATCACATTCTCTGCGTGAAGGATCAACGTGCATGCGCACTCGTTAATAGGTATACAATCAGGCTGATGATCATCGAACTCAGAGACTGATACAACCTACGTCAAGACCTAAATTTGCGCGAGATTTTTCCAGGTTGCGATATTTACCAATGCCGCTATATCAAAGTTTTCAGGCGATCTGCAAATCTGGTTGATGAGTGCCTGTTATGAGAAACCAAATATAAAAACATACAAAATGGCGAGGTTCAAGCACCTCAGGTACTACAGGGAAATTTTCCTTCAGCCGAAGAAGTGCTTCGCGCGCTGTAGTAGGGCATCCTGTGAATGGAGCCGAATTTGGATGCGGGAGGGCTTCCACTGAATTTGTTGGAGATCTGCGAATTCATCATAACAAGCACCATCACCTCAGAAAGAAGGGAACACGTATCTGATGTGCTCAGCTCTGGGTTTCGTACTTACGATGGCAGACTGCATTTCCTCCACTTGAGTCATCCGGGAACAAAGTCCTGACATCAAGTGAGTGCTAGCTAATAGTGAGATAAGCAGCATGAACTTACCAGACTCCGAGTTAGACGTGAGTAACATCAAAATGAACTGAAGTATTAACGAAACCTCTCATAGCGCCTTTGTACGATCTAACAAGCCTCTGACGCGAGTCTCTTAGCCTCTATCTTCCGATCAAAGACTTGCGGAGGAACGATAACACGAGGTGATGAGGAGAATTTGATGACATCCAGGTAGGGAACATCGATTTCTGTGGCGAGGGAGCGAACGGTGGAGCAGCGGGTGGTATTGGGCGGTACCACGAAGAGCCTCTATGCGAGAGTCAGAACAACAATAGTTGTTACAATAACATGTAACCGAGAACCCCTCCTACGGAGGTCATCATGACCTTAGCCCCTATCCCACCATATGCACCGTCTTGGAAGACTTACCGACTCAACGGAGACTCGTAGAGACGCCTAGAACGGCCTGGATGCCGTTAGATGACCTAGACCAGCCTAGGCTACATCTGATCGGACCTAGATGGTCCTCAACCCGGATCATGAGGAAGCTCTGCCTCATGGTCAGAAGAAGAAGCATGCGCAGTTAGAAGCTCTGCCTAATGGTCAGAAGAAGCCGCATGTGAACAGATAAGAGAGGCATGGTAAGCCTCATGTATAGATAAGCAACCGCATGGCATCAGATAAGATGCCCTTATATAGACATACTAACATCTACCTACCAAACGTAGTATTGGTCTGTGCACACGGATGACAGTATATAGAGCAGACAGAATCATGTATATTCCCTACTTGATTCTACTAGGTTTTAACCAGAACTTCCTCTGAAAGACAGTCCCAGTCCTTCAGTCTAAGCCGCACCTTAAGGAAAGCCGACGCTACCTTAAGTGGAACCCCCGAACCTCTCATTCGAGAGAAGATCCCCGTCTCTCCAATAGCGAGCCCGCTATCAGATTAGGCAATCCGCCTAAGGAGAGCTCGAACTATCCTAGTCCGTAACAAAAGAATCAAGTCTCACATTCCCGGCCCTGCTCATCACGCACCGCCGTTGAATCGATACCGACCGCACCGCTGAGACAAGCGTAGACCTCTACTCTCGTGACCAAATCGCCGAGACCGGCGTAAAGCTATCCACAAATTGTCAAGACAGACGTACGAAGCTTTGAATCCTTAAGCCCATCACTGTCCCTTCGTACTACTCCCTCTACCATGAACGCACCGACACAGATCATGATGATCAGAAGAAATACCGACGCCGCCGCCAACCTTTCAGGAATGGAGACAAGACACCACCTGAAGCAACGACGATGCTTTTCTTGCCATCACGTTGGACACAAAGCCAACGACCACAAGTGCCCGATGAGGAGAAAGATTATCGAAGAAGAAACAGTCCGCAAGACAGCGGCTGGTAAGGAGAAGACTGGACCGCTGCTAATAATTAACAAGAAAAGCGTATCCAAGAAGAAGGAACTACGGGTTGCCGCCACCCTCATGTCCACCACTAAGCCGCCCATTACGACCACCATGGTCATAGACTCGGGCGCATGCGACTCATTTATAAGCAGAGAACTCTGCAAGAGATATCGCATCAGAACGCACCTCCTTCAGACACCAAAAAGGGTAATGAACGGAGACGGAACGAGAGGAGGCGACGTCAAAAGATTTTGCCGACTCATCATAAAGATCGACGACCGAGTAATGCACGGACGATTCCTCGTAATGCCGCGCTTAGACGACATCTTACTCGGATTCACATGGCTGGCCGCTGTGAAACCCTCCATAGATTGGAAGAAAGGCACGGTAACTATCCCTGCCACTGACAAGTCAAAAGGACTTGAGAGAATGATTGAGAGAGGTAGGAAGAGGAACGGGAAGAAGCCGCTCTTCCGTAGAGAAAAGAAGACGCGCAACACGCATCAAAGAAGGGAGGTAGGCACCCTGACGAAGAAGAAAGAAGAACTCCGAGATGAGTATAAACTAGATCTGACAGAAGCACCTGTCACGCAGAACCTCCGAAATGAGGCTAAACTACCAGAACCGGCTGATTCGCCGATGGAAGATCTCCGAAACGAGTCGAAACTAACTTCGGGAAGACGGAGATTCACTCCGACATTAAACCCGATCGAGGAACTCCACGAAATCCTCGAGTACGCACCGGCTACCAAGCCGTTGGAACCCCACGCCTCGACATCCCAGAACGTCGAGAAGAAGTCCACAAGACAGTCGGACTTAGTTGCCACCTCACCACCCGCAGATAAATATAGATTCTCTGCAGTACCTGCCCAAATCTTAGGAAAAGGCAGAGCCACTTTCGACGAGGAACCCCCTCGTGCAAAGATCCCTAGACCGGCCCCTGAACCGGAGAAAACTCAGAAGTACGTCTTTTCAGCAAAACCTGCTTCGGTTCTTGGAAAAGGTAGATCGGTAGTCACGGCAGAAGCGCCGTCACCGAAGAAACTCCGCCAAGAGTATAAACTAGTAGAAGAAGAACCGGCCGCTAATCAATGGATCAACCGGGCCGAGCCGATCGTATCCTTCCCAGAACGATCGAGAACCGCACCAGTCACGCCCTCGTTCCTGAAGCCAGACCTGGCCGATATAGCAATGATGGAAGAAACTGACGATGAAGATAACGACGAGATAGTCGTTAATACCACCTCCGCGGCCCCTGCCATAGCAGAAGAACCCGCGACGACTCCGATGGAAGTAGATCGGATTAAACAACAGAACTACTTCCAGCGAACGATAAAACGTATCGCAAACCATTGTCCCAACCAGGACGACCCTGTGGATGTTAGATTATTCCAGGGAAAGATCGCACCAGTCACGGATCAGCCTGACCCTGACTGCGGAAACCTTGATTTAGACTTCTAGATTTGATCGGTGATCAAACGGCCTACTTGGGGGGTGAAATTCTCATTTAAACTCATTTTACTCTTAAATTCCCCTCATCCTGGCCGCACCCTTATCTATAAATATCGACAATCGCCACGAGTCCGGCATGACTATAAACTGTGCATGAGTCCGGCATGACTATAAACTGTGCATGAGTCCGGCATGACTATAAACTGTGCATGAGTCCGGCATGACTATAAACTGTGCATGAGTCCGGCATGACTATAAACTGTACCTGAGTCCGGCACGACTATAAACTGCGCAGAAGTCCGAAATGACTTGAAACTATCCGCGGTCCGGAAAGACCTTAAACTATCCCCTGTCCATCACGACTCTAAAACTGAGAAAAGAAGGACGAACCCGGAGATACGGACCCCTTCACCTCGAAGACAAAGACTAATCCACCGAGAAACTCCTGCAAGCCCCGGATGCCTTACCTTCGCCACTGTCCGGAAAGACGCTAAACTATCACGAGACGAACTCCACGGAAACTCCTGCAAGCCCATGGAACCCTCTAGAACGCCGATCAAGAGATTCAACAAAAAGAACATCTCGAAACGACATACCCCAGATCTTGACAGAATTCGACTAAAACGAAAAGATCAAGACACGCACGTCCGCAATGACGCAAAACTTCCGCTTCTAATAGTCCGGAATGACTCGAAACTATCACAGAACCGCATTGGCATGGTGACTTCCCCCTCTGCCAAGAGAACCATGAGGCACTCCACGCCTTCATGATTGAACCTTGATAAAGAGATTGAACCTTGATAAAGAGATTAAAAGATAAGTTAAACTGATCAAGCGGAGCTTAGAACACTCTTGGAGGACCATATAAACCCTCTACAACGATATACTCGCCAGAAACTCTCGCAACAATCATGCCTAACAACATCGAAGCCTCTGCCATCGTTCCCCTAAAGAACTCGGGATTTTCCAAAATCCTCGACCACCTCGAGAAAGGCGTCGTCGCCGAAACGGCCATTCTCTCCCCTGACCACTTCCTAGAGATCAGCGACATCCTAGGACAGTCAGATGTCAACATCGCCGCATCCGCATCACTGGTGATAGACATCATCCGCACCACGCGACACCTAGAATTATCGGTGAACCGTGAAGACTTAGACCCAGCAACTAGAGCCCTCATAGTGCTGGAAGACCAGAAGAAGATCCGCGCCATGGCGCTCCACTTACTCCCCGACAACTTTAGCGACATCGTAGACATCGCGAAGAAACGCGTTGGAGAAAAGTTAAGACCCTCGCGCCCTACCAAGAAAACGCGAGTAGACCGCACCTGCATCTGTCGACGATGCGGAGGATACGGACACAACTTTAGAAAGTGTCCAGACGCTGTATGTTGCGTCTGCAACGAAATCGGACCCGACCACCTGTCGGCCCATTGCCCTCAACTCGGAGAAATATCATGCCTCCCAGAGTTTCGAGACGACGAAGAGTACTACGAACTCCTCGTAGATTGGGAGAAGAACCACGTCGCGCTAGAAGAGTTAATCAAGCACCACCCCGCGCCGCGCTCGCCCACTCCCATTGATACCCGCAGTAATACTGCCACTCCAGACGAAGAAACCCGGGAAAGAGTTTTGTCGTAGTCGGCGACTTCGACCCAGAAACGGAGGTAATGTTACAATAACATGTAACCGAGAACCCCTCCTACGGAGGTCATCATGACCTTAGCCCCTATCCCACCATATGCACCGTCTTGGAAGACTTACCGACTCAACGGAGACTCGTAGAGACGCCTAGAACGGCCTGGATGCCGTTAGATGACCTAGACCAGCCTAGGCTACATCTGATCGGACCTAGATGGTCCTCAACCCGGATCATGAGGAAGCTCTGCCTCATGGTCAGAAGAAGAAGCATGCGCAGTTAGAAGCTCTGCCTAATGGTCAGAAGAAGCCGCATGTGAACAGATAAGAGAGGCATGGTAAGCCTCATGTATAGATAAGCAACCGCATGGCATCAGATAAGATGCCCTTATATAGACATACTAACATCTACCTACCAAACGTAGTATTGGTCTGTGCACACGGATGACAGTATATAGAGCAGACAGAATCATGTATATTCCCTACTTGATTCTACTAGGTTTTAACCAGAACTTCCTCTGAAAGACAGTCCCAGTCCTTCAGTCTAAGCCGCACCTTAAGGAAAGCCGACGCTACCTTAAGTGGAACCCCCGAACCTCTCATTCGAGAGAAGATCCCCGTCTCTCCAATAGCGAGCCCGCTATCAGATTAGGCAATCCGCCTAAGGAGAGCTCGAACTATCCTAGTCCGTAACAATAGTAAGATGACTATACCAAGCCTAGCACTCACAGAGAAAGTAGCGTAGCAAAGGGTGATGTGCCTCGTGCACCTCGTTGTAGACACGGAATGACAACTATGCACTTGCTGTCCAACCTTGGGACGAAGTCTTCCTGCCGTGTAACTCATTTACATGCGCATTGTACTCAGCGAGAGCATGCTGGTATATCCAGCGTTGGATACTGTCGAGCATCTTCGGGATTGTGGTGGAGTGCCCTTTAGACACCTACATTCGCGCTGTGGGGGTTACAACTCATTAGAATCTCGTAGAAAATAGTGTATACTAGGATAGTGTACTCACTATACTCAACTCTGCTGCACATCTATTCCATTTGTTCCCATAGGGTTGATTAAAACGCTGAAGTCCAGAGTGAGTTCACAATCGTATTATGTAAGCTTGAATTTAAATGTAGTAGTACTACTAGTACAAGTTTAAATCAGCTCTACTTCGTCGATCGAATACATCTACATCTCCTTTGACACTCAATGGATCAAGTCCGAGATAACGCGAGCACAAACACGGTAAGTTGTTCGTGACGTTTGACTCGTAGGGACTGACAAAATCGTTTGACAGATTCAGCAAGTTTTCGATGAAAATGTAGTTAATAATGTATGTGCTGGACTCGGACGTACCTTATAGCATAGTCCATCCGATACGTGGGAGCTGACAATCCCGTGCGACAGGTGCAGCAGCAGGATGGAGCTCTACCGCCTGGGTTCACGATCACGACATCCGCGATGGTAAGTCTTGGATTATCGTCAGTTATTGCGTATCGTTAACCACACGCTGTACTTACTAGGCTCTCTGGGACTATGCGCAGACAATCGTGCAGGATGAACAAGAGCGCGCGCAGAACCGTCACCATGTAGCGCGTCCTCCCCACCCTCCCATCCCAATGTCGCGTCGCAACAGATGCATCCTGACACTCATCCTTGAGGAAAAGCGAGACAATTTGAAGCAGCTGTGGAAAGAATTAAACGAGATCGAGCTCTTCTTGGGTTTGGAGTTTGTTTGAAGACTGTCATTGAAGTCTCCGGGTTAGAGCATATGAAGAAGAATGTTCTACATGTCGTTTGGCGTTCCCTGGATTTAAAGTGTCTAGTTTGCGTTTGAGTGTTTCAGACTTACTTGTAACTCATGTGCTTGACGGACAAGCACACAAAACGATGGCGAGTCTTAATCTTAGACTATCTCAAATATGTTTCAACAGATACCGATGCATTGCAAAATAAGACTGATGTAAACAACATACAGATAGGACATTGTGTGTAAGGATTAACTTAACTGTTACTCGCTCGGCCAAGTCGATAGACGTCATCAGCACTGTGTTCGCATTAATCAATAGTGCGGAAATCAGATTGATAAACTTACTTAATGCTGCATAAATCGGACAAGCTGGCCATGAGTGTTGGATGACCCTCGTCGTTGTGCTCCGCAATGAGGTCAACAGCCGTCTCGCAAAGCTGGTTGTACACAAGAATCGGGGTTGGATACTGTAGAAGTAACTCGACAGGTATGTTGGTTAAGGTCGAGTATTTCTCCAGAAGGGCGCTGTAACACTGAAATAAATTCAAATGGATGAAAAACACGCAGTGAAAAGAGACCTACACAAGACCCCAACAGAGACATAGTTGGGCAGGGAGGGTGAGGGGCGTTCCTGAAATCTGCCGGATTCAGATCGGCCAACACGAGTGGAATACCGTGTGTTGTACTGGTACGGAAAACAATGTGCCACATAATTTCTTTGGCAATTTGCTGGCACAGGAACCAAGCAAAACCGTTAAGCTGCGGGGTGAAATAAGAGTGGCAGCTGAAGGAAGTGCGGAACACTTACTCTGATCGGCAAGGCATTTGATTTTGGTCTGATGAATTGCTGGAGCAGACCATGGATCACATCGATCAACAAAATACCCGCGCCTAAGTCATCGAGATTGAAACCTCCGTGAGAGTGGCCGAGCGAGCCAAACGCTAAGCGTCTGGCATCGTACATAAACTCTGACAGCAAAGGGTTGGCCTATTCTGGGATGAGATATGTAGATGAAAGTAAGAATCCTACGTACGAGTGCCAACACGTCTTCATGAGACATAACAGTCTTACTGTCAAGTGACTTGACTAAAAAAGAGTCAGCACGTCTAGCAAGTATCGAAGGAGTTAAGCTCCTAACCTTCTTCCAATTCGTGAACACTGACGTTAGCCCGAAGGAGAGCCTGGGGCCAGGCATTGTGAATAGCATCCCCCCTCCGTTGGGAATTGAGTACGAAGGGATTGTCAATTTCGCCGAGGCAGACTGCTACTCGTAACAGGACCCGGAGGTAGGCGAGAGCAACTTTCCAGTTCTCGGCTTTTTCGATAACCGCTTTGAGGCCCCCTTCGGGTTTAGCTTTTGCCTTCTCCTTCTCCTTTCCCTTTTCCTTTTTTTTCGCCTTTCGGCGGGCGGAAGCGTTGCGAGTTGATTTGCGGTCTGTCTGGGATTTAGGGGCGCTGGTGGTAGCGTTGTCCATCACGTTAGCCGAGTATGTAATCCAGGAATAGAAGGTCGACGGGGATGACACGGCTGTTTGAGACATATGGATGCTGGTTAGACCTCCATTTATCAAATGCTGGTCATCGTGTGCATCTGTCATGAAGGCCTCATTTGAACTATGAGCCTGGGTTATGTCGCTCGACACCATAGTGGAGGAAGAAGGGATGATCGCAGAACTACCACTGGCATGTGCATCGTGCGTGGCCGCAAAGGTCGTGAAGTCGGACCAAGGGTAATAGCCAATGGGATGACGCGCAAGATGAACGATAGTGGTGGAGTTGAAAGCACCAATCTATGGTATACTGTCACGCGAGGGAGACAAAAATGAAAAGTAGACTTACTAAGTCATATACAACGTAGAACCGGTTATCGGGGCCTATCCTGGTAGACTTGGGAGGGAGATTCAAGTGTTCAATCACAGGTTGAAGCTATAAAGTTGCTTAGTGGAAGGCCAGACACGGTAGAGATTCGACTTACGAAATTAACATACACAGGAACTTCCTTACTTTGTTCGGTTTCGAAGGCTGAACGATGAACGATTGATGTCGACACGTAACCATACAGAGAGATCTCTGTTCTCAGCTAGGAAGGAGTGAGTATGTAGCTCCCCACAAAATCAACCACGTACATTGTCATGCAGCATCATGCGACACTAGGTCCAGAATAAATAACACGTAAATGCTTTGGAAATATAAGTACTTACATATAGAGGGTACAACGTCGGCCCCAGTCCCAAAGCCAGATACCCGATGAAGTCGATATCATCCGCGTCAACGAAGCTGCCCTGAAAAAACCGAATAAGTTGGGTGGACTGAGCTTGAAAGGTTACAAAAAACCGACCGACAAGGGCATGAGGCCGATAGCATCATATATGAAGGAGTCGAACAGTGCTGGTTCGTCCATAAGATAATTGTGAGCAACGTTGGAAGAGGAAGCCATTGTGATTGTTGACAAGGCAAAGAATTATCAACAGCTTTTAAACAGTCTTTGATCAGATCGCCGTCGAGCTATTTCATGGACGCACCTTTTCAAAACTCTGATTTGGACACTAGATTAAGCGAAATACATTGACACCGTCGCAAAGCGGATCCTGGCACCTATAGGTATCGCACCATCAAATTATTTCAGGTAAATACCTCTTTAAAATCTGGGCTCTCGATTAACCGAGAGACTTCGGCGCCATCAGATGCCCAGAATGGCCTTTGACGCAGCGTGGAACGCCATCGGATGCCTAGAATAGTATTTAATGCAGCATTGGACGCCATCGGATGCCTAGAGCAGTCATAGGTGAAACATTATTACGTGCCTAAATGTAATGTGATCTAGTTCTCGTAATCTAATTCTACTTCGCTTTCGTACATTTCTTCAAATTGTTCTACTAGCGATTCCTGACTACTGCCATACCACTGTTCAGCAGGATCTATCATCTGAGTATCGTCTTCGTCTTCATTATCTTGCGAACTTTCACCTTCGTCCCAAAATGTAGTGCCATCTTCATCAGCTTCTCCGGCATGATACTGCACAGCAGTACCATCTTGCTGAAGTATAGCCTGCTCAGCGCGATGGTGAGAGTAGACATGCCCAACACCAAGCCCAAAGTGGAAGCGCATAAGCATGTCGCGGTCCACGAACCTGACATGAAGCACTTGATATTACTGATAAATAATACAATAAGACTGACTTACCGATTAACAAAGTACTCGGACCAATCATCTTTGTCCCCTGCACTCGCCGATATACCCAATCCATCAACATGTTTCTTGTGGCAGGAGAAGCGAGGTATGATATGGCAACCCCTTAGAACATCCGTAGGATCAAGAAAATCGAATGAATGCTCATGCGCCAGGGGCGGAAAAGTAAGTCGGTCCAGGGTGGAGGCCTTCCAGGTGGGGCACTGATCTATGGGCTCATACCAGCGTATCCATAAATACTCCATTCGAAGGGGAGTGTAGTCGATCATACCGGTCCTGATAAAGATCACATTCACGTGATATATACCTAGTACCTTCGCATATATATATCTGTGTCCCTTGTTCTGTATGTCGGTGTCGGAGCGGAGAACCATGACGTTACAATGGGAGGTCCTTGGGTTAATTACATCTTGAGCTCTGTGAACATCGTAGGTTGTGTAGTTGAATCTTGCGATGTTATGCTGATACATCCGATCATCCTTGATGATGATCGTATTGATATTGTGTTCGTTGATGGAACCCAGAGAATCTCCCAACGTATTGATGCGAGACAATAAATGACTCTTCAGTTTCGGAACAAAATTCTGTAAGAGCATGTTAAAATTTTCTCAACAGAGCATGTTTGAACTCACTATAATAGCAGGATCACCTTGGTGACTACGCAAGTACGATCCTATGTGTAGATGGTACTTTTGGGTCAGGCCAATATGGTGGTGAGCTTCAGGACGTGTCGCTAACTCGGAAATTTCGATATGAGGGCGATGAACAGTTCTGTCCCCGATACGGCGAATGCGAGCTTGACGGCGTTCAATTCGAGTAAGCTGCTTCACAAACGATTTACGATCGGTGCGGCAATATCTGGATTTGGGAGAACGATGTTCGAGCTCTCCCTGAAGAAGTCAATCAGTTAAGCAGTTAAGCACATGACTAAAAGGGTTGAGACATACCAGTTCAGTACTATACGAATCGGACGTGCCATACCGACGTATCGTAGACACGTAGTCTCCTAATGCGTGAAACTTATACGTTTGAAAATTAAAAGTCTTCGTGCGCTGTATATTCTGAACTAATCTCCCCGACTCCTCCTCCTGCCCTTGTGCTGCGATGGTAGAACTTTGCTTGCCCTTTCCTTTATGCACTGTTGTCTGCTTCCCCATCTTCTTCGCAAGGCGTCGGGAGCGAGCTTCAACCTCCTTGCGCAATTCTCGGGTCTGGTAAGTGGCGCAAACCGTAGCCTTGAATTCACAAAATTGTTGCCCGAGCGCCGATGTCACTTCGTCCATGACCTCGAGGGTCAAATCAGAATGCATCCGAAGCTTTGCTAGCCCATGCCAATGAGCCATAGTGAATAGTAACTTCAGCACAGTTCCATTGTGTGGTTCGGGGAGAAGGCCATCAAACACAGGGATAGAACACTGTACGCATCATCAATGGCCTATCTGACATCAATACGCGCTAAGCCCATACCTGCAGGAGATCCTCAAAGTTTCGAGCAGCCATACGCGACATTTTGGAAGCATTGGCCGAAAACTTTCGAATGGTAGCTGCACCGAACGTCGGGGTTTGCCTATATCTGAAAGTTGAGGTCAGCTGAATGCAGCAAGCAACGCGGAATCTGACATCATACCTCTTGTCCAATTGATCAATTAAACCCTTGTCCTGTGCCGAAAGAATTCGCAACAGGTGAATAAACAGCATCTTCCATACGCCGATCTCAAACTCGTGGAGAAGATCTACTACCAGAGCACGAAAAATATTAAACCCCATTCCACTGAGTCTATCTATGAAGGCATTCTGAGGGATGATAAGCACTTATCAGTAATTTAGGATCAAGTCTCACCGAAGTGGGTACCCAGGACTGTGCCTTCAAAATGTTTCCCACCACTGCGCTACCAACCGCATAGTTCTTCTCGTAAATCAACTTGCGTGCAGTGCTGATCAAAGTTCCTCTACTTTGAGCATCGCGTTCCAGGGTCTCGCGTTGTCGCCTATCCTGAGGCCTTCCCATGTTGTGCATCTGATCCTTTTGGATGAGACAGCGAGGGCATGGGCACCCTCCTAAATTTCTAACTGTAGCTATAAGTACTCTAGTGGAGTTGGAATCAATACTATTGAACCAGGGATGAATTACGCACTTCTCAGGATAATCAGCAGAGTACGTCAGAATTCGAGGATAAAATCTGCGCAGGATGCCATCACAACAGCGAATGACAATTCCGTGCGCATATGCTTCTACAAACTCGTCATCCAATAAAATATTCCATTGCTCCTGAAACAATTCTCGGCGGCAGTGAGTACCCTCGCCAGTCCCGCCAGCAAAATCTTTGAATGATTCAGGGAGCTGCAAGCGTGAAGTTAGGGGAACATGAAAGCCCACAATATTGGGGGGCTTACCGTCTCGAAGTAAGCAACGTGGTTGCTCAAATTACATGACGGTTTGCACCGTCGATACTTAGACTCATTCGCGAAGTACATGTAAGTGGGCCAAAGCTTGGCATTCCCAAACGAAGTAAGTTGTGTAGCGTCAGACCAAAACATCAAACCAGCCACTACTCGAGGGAGGTTGCAGCCTGGTTCCCCCGGCAATTCTTGCAATTGACTGTGGGCCTCAAGGAAAGCCGGAGACATGTACAGATCCCCATATATGGGAACTTCACCATCTAGGTGGGGAGGAATCCAACGAAGTTGATATGGCTCATAATGAAAAAGTTTGTTGTCCCGAGCGTTGGCGAGCTTCTCGCGTATAACAGCCACCAAGGAACGGTGATACAGATCAGCGGCTTGGTAAGATCGAGGACCTGGCGTATCACTGGCGCGGGAAAAGGGAACCTCAATAGAAATCGGAGTTCTTTTCCATTTGGCATCTTCATCCTCCCATTCGTCATCATCTTCCTCGTCGTACTCATTCGCGCCCAGTTGGCAGTTGACTTGCTTCCAATGGGTAGAAGTCGCGTCAGCAGTCTTAAAAGTGTCGTCGCCCAAAATCCTCAGTAGTTTAGTGAAGTCACCTTGCGACTTCTGGACCCCCTGATTCCAATACCAATCGCCGAGCTGGAAGGATGAGTGATTTGGATAGGGATGGTACTGAGAGTCGTTGTTTAAAGCTGCGGACGCATGAAATCCTTCGGTGTCATGAGGGTTGCCTGGTATAAGTGAGAGGTCTGCAAGAGTGATGTACTCTTCTGGATCGTGGGATGGAAGTTCCGAGGAGTAGTATTGGCGCACTAGCCCGAAAATATTTGGGGGGGTACGGAAAATCTTGCGCACAGGTAAAGCGGGTGGTTGATCTGCCGTGATGACGGATCCAGTAGATTCTGGGGGTCGGTCTCGCACTTCCATAGGCACCATAGGGGGAGGTTGAGGAAGCACATCCCTAAATCTAAGGGGCAGCTGACGGTTCTGACGCCGTGTCCTCCGCTGTGCCAAACTAACATCCTCCCCTCCGTCAATGTCTCCTCCTTCGAGATCTGGAGACGCAATCCCTGCTCTGGAGGATGGCGATCGGGTAGGCAGAGGAGCCACCCCAGCATCGCAACGATGAATTGCTGCCGAAGTATTGTCATCATCAGGGCTGGGGTGAGCAGTGAGCACATTAGACATGTCACTCGGTGATCCATCAACCTCAACAAGGTCAGGAGAGGCGCGCACCTTTTTCCTGCGTCCTACAAATTCCTTGAATGAAGATATCGCCGATGATAATCGCTTTTTCGTGTGTGAGCACGAGCGCTTGTGTTGGCTGAGATAATTTTGTGCTGTGAAAGTTCTCTTGCAAAGGCAGGTATAGTTTGATTCGGACATAGAGAGCTAACCGAAGCATGGATTCTGTCATCGCAATTGATTTTAAACCAACAAAATTTCGATGAAATGATACACTCACAACCAAATACGATATAAACGTCGATGGCGCGGCGGCAGCTACTGCCGTATGGCACAGCCGTGGCCGGATTCACTTGAGGATGGCATGGCTAATGGCCGGATTTACTTGAGGATGGCATGGCTAACGCAATATGGGCGGGTAGGGACCCAATCGCGCGGATATCAATGATCGCCTATATAAACCCCAGAATTAGAGTTCAGCTCGAATCTCATCTGCATGGCCTGAAATGTCGACGCCGTCTTCTCCATGCTCTGATTGCTCAACGCTCGAGCCTATGGTATACGAAGCTGACCCCAATGTTGTGCAACTGCTGGTTCGAATCCTGATTGCTTGCCACGGTATACTTCAATACCACGGTCAGACGGGGGAGCTGTCAACGTACCAATGGTGAATTCAACATTTGCATAGACTATAAATTCTACGCTCACCATAAAACTCGTCCTACAGACCAACCAACCGACGTGGGGATAAAATTCACCCCTCAGAATTTGCGGCATATCGGGAGACCCACGTTTTTCGATACCCATGTTGTCTTTGCGCAACGGGTGACACATATGTCGAGTCTTCGGTGTTTAAGCAAAGCTATGGAATATCTCAAGGGGAGTACATCACTGAATGCGCGACCAGCACTTGTGGCTACAAGCGTAGGTTCGCTCCACCATTAAGCATGACGAATGGCTAATATTCAATTTTAGTAAATGTTGAGAAATTCATCGGGAGAGCCTACGTACCAGCGATGTACTATCCTCGGAAACAATTCATTTGCCCAAATTCAGTACGTCCTACTGGCAAGTGACGGGCATGGCAGTATGTATCGTTTGCAGCAATTTGTACTGTGAGGCGATCTGTATTCTTTACATTAGATTTCGGTCATACAGATAGGCAGATGTCACTGACGCGGGCCACCTTGCATGGTCCACTTGACCTAATCTAATTAACCTTCAAAGCGCAAAGTATTCCAGGATTCAATTATTCACTTCTCTACTCGACGTGCAGTGCGCTATCTAATTAAGTACTGAGCACTGACAGTAACCAGTTCACTATACTTTGCAGAAGTTGGGAAAACACGAACGAAAGGACTTGAACGGGTTGATATACTGACTGGCGTTCACAATGAAACTCCGCCGGAAGTACCCAAACTGGGGTGTCATGTGAAGGGGTCGCTCTGTCGGCACTCGGTGGCACTCCCTCAAACATACAGCAGCACACTTGTGTGTTTCTAAGGTTCCTTTGAATATAACTCAACCCTCTTCACCCCTTGCAAAGATTTACGAAGTCCCTGGAGGCTGCGCTCAAAAATGTTGTGGTGCGTATGCGCTTTGTTGTCTAATTTCCCTTCCTAACGGTTTTGGCCATCTAGGATGCAGATGATGGCAATGCAAAGCTTACGGTAAGTCTTCTGTGCCTCTCTTTCACACTACATCTCACTTTTCAAGCCCGGCACCTCCAGTAGGCTCGCCCTATCCGTACCCATTCTCTCATGTTCGGCGCAATAACGTTTACTCTACCTATTCCATCCACACTGCACCTTCCTCCAACTACGACCCCAACCATCCTTCAGTGATAGAAGAGCAACTCACTCTCCAGATGCAGATGTACGCCTTGAATAACCACGCAGCATTATCTGACTCCACGTTCTCACCATCGTCAACGCCCTTCCCCGGAGCTGGATACAACCCGTAGACGTTCTTGCAGGCATCTCGTGCGTTCGGAGAAGGCGTACGGCCATGTTCAGACTCCAGCAACTATGAGTATCCAGTCGATCCCGAGCCATCAACCAATGAGCCTTGGCAAAATCAAGCGCCAGTCGTTACATCTACACCCGCATCCACATCCACCTCTACATCTACACGTACGTATATATCTTCGGCACCACAGAGATCGTCCCACCTCTCTTGAAAACCCCCGTCAAGCACTACCTACTATGCTAACATCAAGATACATTCCCGTCGGTCATGCAATCAGGCATCACTTGTCACTACTGGTGGTATTTTGCTCAGGAGTGGTGCTACGCGCTATGTACAGCGTACAGCTTCGATATGTGTATGTACCCGCTCAAACAAATTATTCCACTCGCTGACGAGACAAATAACAGACCAATGTACGTGGAGCTGCCTCAAAATTTGAACCAGACCAAGGTAAGTACTTGATCCGGTGGTTACAGTAACATAGCCGTTGACATGCCGTGTCAGCACAGCGCCTGCAACCACAGCATGCAAACTGACCCAAATGAGTATGACCAGGTGAGGGATGAAATTGCGACAAGGCAAGAGGTGTGCAATCGAGAAGTTCAAGACACTAACCTCAGAAACTTCGAAGACGCCTACGCCTACCGTGACAGCGTGACCGATCACTTAATTTATCCATATTAAGTAGTCGTCCAGCAGTACCAAAGTGCACCGAGCATAGAATACAACGCGTAGCGTGCGTGCATGAACGTGTAAGCAGTAACAAAGCGTAGCAGCGCATAGGACAGTACAAGTAACAAGCATAAAGACAGGCAATGACAAGCAAAATCTACGTCCTGAGGTCAAGTGCACAACGAAACAGCGGCATGAACATTCGCGAGATTGGTTCGAGTCTTTTTGGAAGCCCGGGGTGCCATGGTAGATGGGGCAGAGCGTTTGGATGCGCGAGAATTGGATAAGTGAGGTATAGTACAAGATGAGCTATGCAAATGATTGTCTGTGTGTGATGGTACTTGAAAATCTATAGTCGGTGTCTGCGAATGTCCAGATGATGTATTAGAATAATGTGAATGGTGATTTGATCCGGGTTGCATGGTTTGAAAGGAATCATCTTTGAAGTCCGTGATATATGCAGTGTTGTCGTCGTTATTACTAGAAGCAAACCATGAGTCGTAACATGTAGATTGATGAGTCGTAGAATACATAATGAATGAGGTGTAAGGAAAGAGAGATGCACGTCATTGAGGAGACACGTCGAATTGATATTGACGCGTCATATTGATATCGACGTGTATGACTTTGCTCACATGCTTCCAAAAATCACATCCAAGATCTCTCGTTTAGCGGGTAGTATCTTTGGATGGGTGTGTACCATTGAAATAACTATCCAGAGCTGTTATACACTAGTAAAAACACCCCCTGTTCAGTACTTGACAAACAATTTTATGAACTTTTGAGGCCGCTGGCGAGAAACTCAAAACGCATCGCCAGTAACTTAGAGTGGCTATACATTAAGGTTTTTTAGCTTAGGTAAAGTTGAGCTCTGTGTTCGGGATTTTGCGAACGCACACCTCTTGTGACAAGGAGCGACGAACTCACCGTTGACCATACACTATTCCAGGACCCTGTAAAGGGTACTGGTTTGCGCCCAAGAGATGTGAAGAACCGATCATCCCGGACCTTTTAACATGTTTATTGATGTTTGGTCGTTCCGTCGTTTCTTTGCCTCCTGTCTTTCTTTCGCTCTCTGCACCTTACGATAGATATCATGGCTACTGCTTCTTCATCGTCGTTTCCTTGTCCTGGTTCATTCTGTTGTTTTTGTGTCTCCTGTTTTTCTTTCGCTCTCTGCAGCTTACGATAGATATCACAGCTATAGCTTCTTCATCGTTGTTTCCTTGTCCTGATTCATTCGCTCGTCCTGTTGCGTTGGTTGCATCTGATCAAGAGCTTTCTGAGGGACACACAGTTGTGTCGTTGTGCGTCTTACACAAATATTTTGGGTATTACGGGGTTTCTTGGGATCGTCTGCCTGTGGGCCGTCAATTTCCGTCTGGAGATCTGTTGCCAGTCTCTGCGCCTAGTTTATGTCACATTATTGAGCATTTATCTGTCTTCACTCGTGTGCAGTAAGTTGAAATTGCTCGTGCACACTCAATCCGGGTCATTTCAGTGGATCGTAAGGATTACATTCGTGATCTATTATGTGTGCATGATTGTATTGATCAGTGTGCACCCTATCTAATTGTATTTTGGTATTTGTGTGTTGCTACATGCGATACCTCTCATCTTGTCCTGCCCATTCCTTTCGCATATGATCACTTTGCATGGCACACTGCAGTCCAACTCCCATATTGCTTGACCTCATTTATCGCATTGTTTTTTTTGCCATGATAGCAATGACATGGTATGAGATTCTGGGTGGAATTTTGAACCTGATTTCACCTGCAGGATAAGAGTCAGTTCAGCAACGAGATGTTGACTGAGGTTTGGCAAATGTTGTAGGTGAGAGCTCTCGGCTTTGATTTTGCCAAATGTTGGAGCTCAAATTACCCAACCCTACATCACGCTGTTATCTATATGCTACTGTTGAATATTAAACCTTCGTTGTTGTTCTCTCAGTACCATTGATTATCTAACCACCAGAAAACTTCCCTTCGCTCACGCACTGTTGCTTTCCTCAGTTGACTCCGCTAGTCGCTGAGGTAAGTATCCATTTTGTATATACCAACTATGTAACTAACACCTCGTGCAGCCATAGTTGCTGCAGGTACATTCAATCTATCTAGTTGACTCCACTAGTTGCTGAGCCGTAGTTGCTGCAGGTTATGAGCCCTGACACATACACTAAAATTTCAAATTAGCGCTTGGAGAAAAGACTCACAAATATGTCCACCTCAAATGGAAAATTAGGAGAAGACTTTCTTCACATCCCGAAGCTCACCACCGCTGGTGAGAACTGGATGATGTATAAAGAAAGGCTCCAGTGGTCCATAGACGCTCGAGGGCTGCTTGGCCATTTGGATGGCACTGAGACAAAGTCCATAGATCCCCAGACGCTGCCTAACAGAGGAACATCATGGGTACCTGTGACCGCAGACAAGGTGAAAGAGGTGAGCATGTATAAACCCGAGCTGAAGGAATGGCACACGGGCCAGGCGGTAACGAAACAGAAAATCGCGGGAACGATTCCTGATTCCCTGTTCATTCAGATCAAAAATCTTGACATGGCTAAAGAAATATTCACTCACCTTTCGAGTTTATTTGAGCAATGTTTGCGCGTAGTCTCCATAGAACTACTGTGCAAACTACAGGACCTAAAGTGCCCCAAAAAGGGCAATGTGCGCAAGCACTTCAACAAGATGCGCACTGCGAAGGAACAGTTGTCGTCATTGGGCCACGCACCCACAGATGAAAGCTTTGCAGCCATGATAATGAGCTCACTCCCAGCGTCCTATGACCCCCATTTATCAGTATTAATGGTGTCTGCTAAAGTATCGAGCATGAAACTCACCTCAGATACATTGATGTCAACAATCATCAACAAATATGATCGTTGAGCCTCTAAAGCCAAAAAGAGTGGCTCTTCGAATGATGACGCTGCCTACAATGCGAATACAAGTCAGCGCACTCGGAAAATGAAAGGAAACTGCCATAATTGCGGCAAGTACGGTCATATGCAACGAGATTGTCACAGACCTGGGGGAGGAGGAGCAGCTGCGGGAAAAGGCAAAGAAAGGCCCGACACTAAGGGGAAAAGAGGTGAAACGGCCACAAGCACAAAGGAAAAAGACAAGGACGATGAGCCTGAAGGTGTATGGTTAGCACACGAAACAAGCGCGCCAGAGGAACAAACATCATTCGCCTATGCGACATTGACAGACTCCACGAGAAAACAAGACACTCAAATTGAGTTATTCAACTTGGGCGCTTAACGCCACATGTCGTCGTACAGGCACCTGTTCCAGGACTTTGTCAGCATCGTGCCAAAATCAATCACAACAGCTGATAGACATACATTTGAAGCGACAGGAAAAGGAAACATCATAATCTTCCTACCAAATGGACAGTCAAAAACATGAATATTGCTCAAGGATGTTCTCTATTCACCTCAAATGGGGATAACCCTGGTGTTGATTAGTCACCTCGTGACCACAGGATATGCAGCATTGTTCCATGAGAATTCCTGCAAGATTTCGACGAGAAGAAGAAGCTAATGGGAGAAATATCAGTAAACAAAGGGCTATATTGCATCAGAAGTCCAAAAGGACTATTTGCTGGTACAACAAGCCCCAAGGAAACTCTCACCATGCGGGAAATACATGTGCGCTTAGGGCCCGTCGCCCCCAGCACTATTGTGCAAATTATACGTGATGGTGCCATCACCAGAGTTGTGCTTGATCCATCTGAAGTGATGATGGAGAGCTGTGAATTGTGTGAGTATGCGAAAGCAACACGTAAGCCGATTGGAAAAATTCGTGACCCACCTAGACATGAAAACTTTGGGGACGAGGTCCATAGCAACCTCTGGGGCCCCTCACCTGTTCAAACTCCCAGTCAGAAGGAATACTTTGTGTCATTTACAGACGACCACACGAGATTTACGCATCTTTATCTCCTCCGGTCCAAGGATCAAACTTTCAATGCCTATACAAAGTTTGAGGCATGGGTAAACACCCAGCTTGATACAAAGATCAAGCGTCTTTGTTCGGACCATGGGGGAGAGTATACTAGCGATGAGTTCACATGTCATCTTAAAAGCAAAGGAACGGAGCATAAACTTACAGTCCACGATACCCCAGAGCACAATGGGGTGGCTGAGCACCTCAACAGAACTGTCATTGAGCGAGCGTGCGCACTCCTTCACACAAGCGGGTTGCCAAAATACCTTTGGGGAGAAGCCATAATGCACATTACATGGCTGAAGAACCGCACTGTGACTCACACACTAGGGAACAAAACACCACATGAGATGCTGTTTAAAAAGAAACCTGA